AGCAGGCTCCAGTCTCTGAGCTGTCAGCACAGAGCCCGATGTGAGGCTCAAACTCACAAATCGAGAGATCATGACCTGAGCCAAAGTCAGACGCTCAACCGACTGAGCCACGCAGGCGCCCCTGTTTTGTTTTTTGTCTTAACTTTTTATTTGGGAAAAATTTCAAGATTCACAACAAATTGTAGAGATATTGTGGAGGGGTCCTGTGTACCCTCCCAGGTTCCTCCAATGGTTACATTTTAATTACAGCACACTATCAAAACAAAGACATTGATAAAGTGCCTGTTTATAATTGTTTCATTTTGTTGCATGTGTAGATTCATGTAACTATTACAGTCAAGATACAGAACTAATCTATCACCACAAAGATCTCCCTTCTGGCATCCTTTAATTACCCACTACCTCCTCCCAACCATCTCTGCTCCCTCACAACTGTTGGTCTCTTTTCCATCTCTATAATTCTGTCATTTTGAGAATGTTGTATGAATAAAATCGTAGAACATGTGAATTTTTGTTTTGAGAATGTGATCTTTTGAGATTGCTGTGTATGTTTCATTTTAAAGAAACCACCAAACAGTCCAGAGTGGCTGTACCGTTCCTATCTTCAGTGTATGAGAGATCCACTTTCTTCCACATCCTCACCTGCATTTGATATGTCACCTTTCCTTATTCTAATTGTTCTGGTAGGTGTGTGGTGATGTCTTAGTCTTACATTTTATTTGAAGTGCTCTTTGTGGTTTTAAAATTTGCATTTCTCGGGCAACCTGCGTGGCTCAGTCGGTTGAGCGTCTGACTCCTGATTTTGGCTCAGGTCATGATCCCAGGGTCATGGGATTGAGCCCTGCTTCAAGCTCTGTGCTGAGTGTTGGAGCCTTTAAGATTCTCTCTCTCCCTGTCCCCCGCTTGTGCGCTTTCCCTAAAAACAAACAAATAAAGTGCAAATACTGCACTTATTTTTTTTAATTTTCCATTTCCTTAATGTCTAATGATGTTGATATTTGATATTTTCATGTGTTTATAGGCCATTTGTATATCTTTGGAGAAATGTCTTTTCAAATGCTTTTTGCCTGTTTATTATTATTATTATTATTATTATTATTGGGTTATTTGTCTTTATTTAGTTTTTGCAAATATTTTCTCCCATTCTCTGGCTTGGTTTTTCATTCTTTTCCTTTTTAATGGTGTCTTTGAAGAATGAAAGTACTTTTTATTTAAATTGCAGTTAACATAGCCTAATATTAGTTTCAGGTGTATAGTATAATGATCAGCATTGCCATACAGCACCGGTGCTCATCACAGGTGCACTCCTTAATCCCTGTCACCTGTTCAGCACATCCCCCTTCCACCCACCTTCTTCCTGGTAATCATCCATTTGTTCTCTATAGTTAAGAGTCTGTTTCTTGGTTTGCCTCTCTCTCTTTTTTCCCCCCCTTTGGTCATGTGTTTTGTTTCTTAAGTTCCACACGTGAGTGAAATCATATGGTATTTATCTTTGGCTGACTTATTTCGCTTAGCATAATACTCTGGCTCCACCTGTGTCATGGCAAATGGCAAGATTTCATTCTTTTTTATGGCCAAATAATATTCCATTGTATATATATGCTGCAACATCTTTATCGATTCATTAGTTGATGGACACTTGGGCTGTTTCCATAATTTGGCTATTGTAGGTAATGCTACTATAAACATTGAGGTGCATGTATCCCTTTGAATTAGTATTTTTGTATTCTTTGGTAAATACCTAGTAATGCAATTGGTGGATTGTAGGGTAGTTCTATTTTTAAGTTTTTGAGGAACCTCCATACTCTGTTCCATGGTCACTGCACCAGTTCGCATTCCCACCAACAGTGCAAGAGGGGTCTCCTTTTTCCACATCCTTGCCAACACCTGTTATTTCTCCAGTTGTTGATTTTAGCCATTCTTACAGGTGTGAGGTGATATCTCATTGTAGTTTTGATTTGCATTTCCCTCAGATAAGTAATGTTGAACATGTTTGCATGTGTCTGTTGGCCATCTGTATGTCTTCTTTGGAAAAGTGTCTTCGTATCTTCTGCCCATGTTTTAATTGGATTATTCATTTTGGGGGTGTTGAGTTGCATCAGTTCTTTATATATTTTGGATACTAACCCTTTATTGTGTATGTCGTTTGCAAATATCCTCCCATTCCATTGGTTGCCTTTTAGTTTTGTTGATTGTTTCCTTCGCTGTGCAGAAGCTTTTTATTTTGTTGAAGTCTCAGTAATATATTTTTGCTTTTATCTCCCTTGCCACAGGAGAAATATCTAGAAGAAGTTGCTATGGCTGATGTCAAAGAAGTTAGGATTTTTATGGTTTCAGGTCTCATACTTAGGTCTTAAATCCATTTTGACTTTATTTTTATATATAAGTGTAAGAAAGTGGTCCAGTTTCATTCTTTTGCATGTTGCTGTCCATGTGTAATTTTGTTTTCACCATATTCTTGAACTCCATATAAATGCAGTAGTATGATACAGTATATATTCTTTTGTGAATGACTTCTTATGCTTGTGAGATTTATCTATGTTAGTGTATGGGGCAATAATTCATTCTCAGTGGCATAAATCATCGAGTGCATGTACAACAATCTATCCATACTAGAGTTGATAACGTAGCTGTTTCCAATTTGATGAGTAGAAACAGTGCTGATGAGAACATTCTCATGTGTTTAGGTGCATATAAGCATGAACTGTCTTGAGTGTATTCATAGGAATAGAATACATAAGGTTTGTAGGATAGTCATATATTCAACATTAGTATATTGGGTCAGTTTTCCAAAGTTGTGCCAACTTGCACTCCCACTAGCAATATACTAGTTCTGATGTTCCACATTGTTATCAACTCTTGATATTGTCAGTCTTTTTTAATATCTAGTATTTTATTATGGTTTTAACTTACATTTCCCTGATGACCAGTGAGGTTAAGCATCTTTTCATATGTCTATTGGATATGGTTTTAGTCATTTAGATATAGCTTAGACATAACATTTGTTTCTCATTCACTTATAGTGGTTGGTGGCTGTTCTGAAGCTGTATGTGTTCTTTTTCTGGGAATCAGGTTGAAAGAACAGCCCGTATTTAAGGGGGAAAGAGGAAAAAATTAGCAGAAACTAGTACTATCTTTTGAAGCTTCTGCTTGGATTTAGTATGGGTCATGTCTATTCATATTCCATAGGCCAGAGCATATTGTAAAACTGTGCTCAGTGTCAGTGGGTGAGGGAAGTATTCTCCCACAGGAGACATGGCAAGTTATGTCACCATGGATGGGGGTGAAAAATTCTTTCACAGGAGAAAGGGAAGGCACAAATACTCTGGAACACAAGTAAAGTCTACCACTTTGTTAGGTGCCTATGGAACTCTTTTGTTGTTTTCTTTTATTTGGACTTTCTTAGTGATTGCTAGTGAGGATTTTTTTTCTCCTTTTTTCTCTTTCTTAGTAAGTTCTGGATATAAAATTTGTTGGTTATGTGTATTGCAGATATTTTCTCCCACTCTGTTACTTGCCTTTTAAATCTCCTAATGTCTCTTATTAAATAAAATTCTTAAAAAAAAACCCAAAAACCTGACATACAGCATTAGTTTCAGATGTACAACATAATAATTTGACATTGTGTATATTGTAAATAAAATTAATTTCAATGTCATTTATCAGTATTTTTCCTTCATAATTGTGCTTTTGTTTCTTGTTTAAGAAATCTTTCTCTACTCCAAAATTATGAAAATACTCTTTCTGTTATCTTTCTGGAAGTTGAGATTTTCCTTTTTATTTCTTCTTATGTGCTTATTTAATTTCTTCTTGTCCCAAGCTGTCTGTATAAACTCGTCAAGAACGAAAGGGAATAATTTCCAGATGTTTAATACAAGAATTGTTTAAGTAATTGTATTTCTGTTATGCAAACACATTAGTGCTTTGCCTTTCTTTAGCAAAGGCTGAAGTTGTTTCCTACAATGGTACTCAACACCTAAACATTAAACATATTTTGGAGCGTAATTACTATTTTGATATTTGTAGGATAGTTTAAGGATTAAGTTTTATCATCCAGTAGACCAAAAATATTTGATCTTCAAAATTGACCAGGTTAAACAAACAGTAACATTGGAAATTGGTTGATTTTAACTTTGTACATGGCATTTATTGTCCATTGTAAATGTAAACTTTTAAATCTTGGTAATAGATCTTACAGTTAAAATGAGAAGGCTTGTCTGACTTGTCTTTTCGCATTGACAGTTCAGCTTGCAATTGGTCAAAACTCTCATCAGCAGAAAAGAGTAAATTATTTAAACAGTAGTTGTTTAAGAATTAGTACACATTAAAGATCATTCTGAAGATTAATGGGTAAAAAAATCACCAATTATAAAGGGTATCAGCTATCACCAAATATAGAAGTAAATTGCATCTTTGTGTTCAACTTTAAAAAACACATGGGAAAAAATACATGAATAAAAAATGAAAAATAAAAAAATATGTAGGTATCAAGTCAGGATTCTTAACAGGTGCTACACAAATTATTTCCACATGAATACTTAAGAATATACTAAAAAAACCAACCTATTTTAAAATACTAAGTATATTTAAAATATACCAAATATACCTTAAAATAAATTACAGAAAAAATTTCAGGATGCAACCCCTAAGTATGGTTTTTGGTACTTCAAATGAAACATCTGAAGATTGGGTTTGTTCAAAAAGGGATGAAGGATTATGTCCCCAATTGTATGATAGCAGGTTGGCTTTTTTTTTTTTTTTTTTTTTTTTTTTTTTTTTTTTTTGGTATATATAACTAACAACCATGTGGATATGCAGTAATTTTTTTTTCTGTGAAATTCACTTCTCCAACCTTTAAGTTTTGTGATTCTTGAGGATTTCCCTTTAAAGGCCTTGATATTCAAACAGAAGTAATAATATTAACTTTTAATATTTTTAGTAGTAAATGTGGACCATTATCCAAGACTTGTTTTATTAACAATATTGCCCTTGCTTTTCAGCGGGGATCTGATGAGCTTCTTTCTTCTGATGACATTGACGGACCCTTTACCATGAACAATTCTACTTCTACAGGTGTGTATGGTGAGTTTTCGTTTTTTCAGAATCTAGAATGTTTTCTTTCCATGAATTTCAAAAAATTTTTTTCTTCGTTTGCTCATCTAAACATTTATTGAAATGCCATTATTTATAACAAAAACACTTATTGCAGTAAAGTTCAGTAAACATTTATTGCGGTAAAATTTATTGTAGGAAAGTTCACATAGATGAAGTTAGCAGTTGTGGCCCTTAAATTTTAACTTGTGTCTAATTCGATAATTCCTTTTTTGATGTTCTTTGTGTTACATAATTGTGATAAAACTGTCAATATGTTGGTGACCCAGAACAATTGAGTAAAAGAGCTGGATTTAAAAGCTTGTGTTTAATGAGGATTTAGAATAATAGAAGTATTAAAACTATAAGTTTACATGATTTTAAAAAATTGGAACATAATTTACATTCCATAAGTTACCACAATGTTTAAAAATACATGTTCTTAAAATTTAGGGACTGTGAAATGAACTGGAAGAGTGCAATACAGGAGGGAGGGTGAACAGTTAAGAGGCTATTGCTGTATAGGATTTCCCAGTTAGGGATGGTAATTAGTACTATAGCACTAGCAGTTGTAATGGAGAGAATTAGAGAATTCACAGAAGGTGAAATTGATAGTAACTGGTGATTAATTGAATATTTGGATAAGGGATTCCATTGATGATTTATTTCCAGGTTTTGGACTTGGATAATTAGATAGATGAGTGGTGGTGCCATTCATATAGAAACTGTAGGAAGAACAGAGTTGGGTAATATGGCAGGTTCTGATGTTTATATATTGAATTTGAAGTTCCTCTGCAACATCCACATGGAAATGTTCGGTAGTCATTGGGTTCTTCCCAACATCACAAGAGAAATTTGGAAGTTAGTATCATCCGCAGTTTAAAAGGCTTGAGAGTGGAGAGTGTCACAAAGGGCAAGATTTTTATCCAAATGTTTTTGGAGATATAGGAAGCAGGAATGAGTGAACCTCACTTTCCAGACCCTCAGCCACATGGTGTTTGGGAGAGTGAACAGCTTTTATGTGAGAACTCTATAAGAGAAGAGGGTTAGTTTCAGTTGAGGGAAAAGATAGAAAGAAAATTCACTGAAGAGATTAAGAATGTCTAGGAATTGGTTAACCATGGTACATTGCTCTAGAGGACTAAATGGATAGATTTTATGGGCAGGACAGCAGCAGAGGATTTGTTCATGTAGAAGTGTGAACAGATAATATGAGCATGAGACTAAAGCAGCTTTCTCAAACTGGAGCTGGTGTCAGAGTCACCTGGAGGGCCTATTAAAGCATGGTTGCTGAGTCCATACCCAGAATTTCTAATAAAGTAGATCTGAGGTGGGTCCTAAGAATTTGCATTTCCACAAGTTCCCTGATAACAGTGATGCTACTGCGGAGCCACACTTTGAGAACTGCTGTATTAAGGAAATACTAGAACCTGATATTTCTAAACCTGATTATCCTCTTGGTGTAGGATGCTAAAAAAATGTCCTTATTCCTAGAGTTACAGTACACCTAGGGTGGGGCCCATATGTTTGTTCTTTTAAAAACAGGTCACTTTGTTTGTTTGGTCATGTTTATGAACTACCAGGATGGATGACCAGGAGGATTTTCATCCTGGTTGATTGATTACTTAGGGGAAAAAAAAAATGAAATGTGAGTTTAGCTGGCAACAAGAGTTTGTTGTGTTTTTTGCTTTTATGTTTTGAATTTCTTCTTATATCCCATTCCATTCTATGTTCAGCCCACCCTATTTAACAGCTATTTCTGCAAAGCTCTATAAATGGTAACTTCTCAGACTTTATGACTAAAAAATGTCTATTTCATTATCACTATTGAATGTTAGTTAGCTATTTAGAATTTTAGGTTGACAGTTACTTCTCTCTACACTTTGAAGGTATGATTCTGTTATTCTTTTAGCTTCTATTGTTGGGAAGTTTGTGAGCAGGCTTACTACTCTGTAGGTAAAATTACTTCTCTGTAGTTATTTTTAACATTTTTCTCTTTATTTTTGTTCATTCGTTTAGCTGTTTGTAGGTATGGATCACAGGTTCTCAAACCTGGATACTCACTAAAATAGCTTGGGAAGCTTTGAGGGAAACAAAGATACTTTGACCTACCCCACACCAATTCTAAAATCTCTGGGTGGTGTAGGTTTAGGCACTGTTTTTCTTTTTCTTTCTTTCTTTCTTTCTTTCTTTCTTTCTTTCTTTCTTTCTTTCTTCTTTCTTTCTTTCTCTCTCTCTCTCTCTCTCTCTCTCTCTCTCCCGCTTCCGCTTCCGCTTCCGCTTCCGCTTCTTAGGTGATAATCTAAGGTTCAGCCAGTATTAAGGACCATTGCTGGAGACTTAACTTTCATTTATCCTGTTTTGGAGTGACCCAGCTCTTCACAGAACTGCCTCCTGTGGGCACCTGGGTGGCTCTGACTTCATTTTGGCTCAGATCATGATCTCTGTCTCTCTCTCAAAATAAATAAAATTAACCTAAAAAAAAAAAAGAATCAGCTCCTTCTGTAACTCCAGTTAGACATGTATAAGACCCATTTCATTCAGTCCTGTATTTGTTTTAACCTCTTATATTGTCATGTCTTTTTCCTTGAGGTCCTGTATTTTGGATAATTTCTTTAAAATGTTTTTCTGATTCACTCATTCTCTGTTCAACTTTGTCTAGTGTACTGTTTAATTCTTCTGTTGAATATTTGCTTATATTCTAGTGTTTTTCCTTGTGTGAGTAATAGTTTTTAGCTGAATTGTTTTTTCTTCTGTGAAAATCTCTAAGGTGTTTTGTGGTTTGCTCTGCTAGATTTCCTAAGGTACCACCAGCCCCTACATCTTCTAATGTATATGTTAATTTATTACCTTGGAGATTCTTAAGCCAGAGAGGAAGAGAAAATTCAGAATGTAAATTCCTGAACAGAGATAGGCTTCCTTTTTAAATGTTTCTGGTAGATGGGAAATTTCTCCCTCCCCTCCCCTACCCTTCTTTTCTTTTCTTTTCTTTTCTTTTCTTTTCTTTTCTTT